TTGTATCTTGGTATTAATCCTTATAAAAATAAATTACTTCATATTTAAGACTGTTTCAATATATATAACTTTTTGAATTATTAAATTCGGACATTCCATTCGAAAGATACCACAAGTTTAAAAATTTTAGTATATTTTTGTAATTTAACTATCCAAAAGCTTAGTGACTAACTTAGTAGTTCTTATCATTTTTGTAAATAATATAAATAAAGTGTATATAATTAATTATAATATATGTTAATAATTATATTATTAAAAATATATTATTTATTAATATAAATATAAATATCAAAGAAAAAAAATACTGCATAAATAAAAAATAAATAAATAATTATAATTGCATAACTTGAAAAAAGATGCTATGCTTTACCGCGGCAATCCCCCGAGTGCCACAGGTTTTTTTTTATTCAAATGTTTTAATTTCAATTATTCATAGTAATCCATGCAGTCGATGCACCTTTACTAACACAACGGTAGTTTATTGATGCCCTTCTTGTAAAAATCAGCTCGACGTGAGGCAAAGTCATTTTGTACTGCCTCTCGGTAAAAAGTTATTTAAATTTTGGAAAGTAGTAATATAGTAGCAAGTTCTAGTGAGTATGACGGATGAGGGAGGGCAACCCCAACTTTTGCAGCTTGGAGTCTGTTGTGCAGTATGAGGATGGGCGTTGTCTTGAAGGAGCAGCGGGAACGGCCGATTGACCAAAGCTGTCTTCCCATCATTGTCTTTAGTTCTTCACAGTACACATCACACTACTTTGTACTTTTTCGATTAGATCACTTTCATGTTTCTTTTCATATTTTTTTAAACATGGTGGAGGTCAATCTAAACTGTTTTTCGTTTTAGGCTGGCATGATTCAGTGTCATCTGAAACAAGTTTCTATTGTTATTATAAATAACCCCACTAAATTTCTACATACAGTTCTGGAATCAAAACTAGGGATATTGGAGATATTATTGTAGTTAATATATTTAATAGTTGATAATACAGTATGAATATGACTTTATACTCTAAAAAGTAGTCTAGTATAGAGAATCAAAATCTTTCATACATGTATAGAATCTCATTATCATCATTTCAGCATGTTTGAGCTAACTGCTGAACATAGGCCTTCCCTACAGACTGCCACGTAGCACGGTCCTGAGTCATGTACAAATGACTTCCCGCATATTTTCACTTCGTGATACACGTAGTGACGACTTCACTCCACCTAAGGCGGACTATAATTTGCGAATATTAAAACTACAATACCAACTTATCAAATGTTTTACATTGTTTTTTTTCTTAAAAACATTGACCTTACTTTAGGGTAACATTATCCTGTGTTGAGTGAGGACGTTTTACAAACATAAATTTCACGTGGACAAACACCCAGATGCGAAACAACTATCTGTGGGTCACACAAATAGTTGTCCCGTGTGGGCATCGAACCCGCGACCCCCGACGCCGAAGCCAATACGTTGACAACTACGCCACGGAGTCATCGAATTTTTTATATCCACATACATCTGCAAAATTATAAATTAGTACATAACATAGTTATGTAAGTTAAATTTATATTAAAACTTTACCTTAGAAAGATATGTGCTTAAGGGAATAATCAGTACATCACAATTCATAGTTCACAATTATTAAACTCTACCTAAATAGAGCTCCTTCCAGAATGGTAACAGATGCAGCTAACTTTCTCGCTCTTTCGTAGTGTCTTTTTGGGGTTCCGTACCCGAAGGATAAAACGGGATCCTATTACTAAGACTCCGCTGTCTGTCTGTCTAGCCGTCTGTTACTAGGCTGTATCTCAAGAACCGTGATAGTTAGGCAGTTGTAATTTTCTGTTGCCGCTACAGCAAATACTAAAAACAGAACAAAAAAATTACTAAGTGCCCCACTAACTAAGAGTCCCACACAACAGACATGAATTTTTTTAGCCGGTTTTATAATGGTACGGAACCATTCGTGCGCGAGTCCGACTCGCTTTGACTCGCAACTTGGCTGGCTTTTTTTACCAATCGTGCCTGTGTTGGCATTTGTTGACTCAAAAGTTTTCTCCCCCTCCGCCACTCGCACTACCAAAGCGACAGCCGGGGCGGACAGACGTGTGCCTGCATCGAATCGTAACAATAGAGTCGAAATAACCCACGCAAAACCGCTGAATAACATCATAGTAGTAAATATTTTTTAAAGCAAATTATATTAGTGAATTATGAAAAAGAAAATTCTGTTACAATTATTCTTTTGAACTTGTTATTGTATATTTTTATTAGTCGTGATTTCAAGTTCAAACAATGAATATAAATTTAAATCTGAAATGTATGTAAAAACGTGCTTGCAACACGGGATAATGTTATCCTAAAGTGAGGGCAATGTCTTTAATTTGTCTTTTGTAAAAAAAATAAGTGCAGTGTCATACATAATCCAAAATGTCATAGCATCTTTTAACGTGGATTTGTAGTGTGTTGATTGGTAATCTGGCTTGTTTATTTAATATCAATTGTTCAAAATCTGCAGGATCAGTATTGTGAACTTCATTTTTATTATGAGTATCGTCATTAAACTTACATAATACTCACAAATGGAACAAAAACAAAAAATAACCCTTTTAGATTATATTACTACGAGTTCGGGGTATTTCAAATATGACAGTATTATACATTATTGTACAAATACGTACTATGAATATCTCGCAGGGAAATAGCGTTTGGTTTGAGTTACAGAGCCTAAATAACAGTCTGGCGAAACAAGGAACAAAAAATTTTTCTATGGACTTTACGCGGCAAATAATGGCGGACAGTGATATCGGTTTCTCTTTCTTGTAATACAAGAAGTGCCATGTTGTTTGTCAAAACTTAATTTTGCACCGCGTATTTTGAATGTAAATGCTTATTTCATTGTAAATTTAAATTGTTTAGAGTAAACTTTCTCACGAAAACTAGTGACAGGTGATCAGAGTTGTACTTTTAATTCAAAATGCCAAAAAGACGGTTTATTACCTGTGAAATTGGTGAAAATCGAGCAAGTCATTCGAACCTTGAAAAAAGGATGTTTATGGCGAGATTTCCCTTAGATGAAGCCCATGTAAACACTTAAAAATGATACTTTGCAGCCATATGTAAATAGAGCAGGCTAAGAACAAATGTAATTAACAAATTTATCTCATTTAAATTGTGTGCTAGTGATGTACTGCAACTGTAATATCCACATATCGATAACTACGTTAATGATTATCATTGAAAAAAAATAAGAAATAAAATGTTGCGTGAAAGAGAAGGGGCACAAAGTTTTACATATTTGAATGATGTGCCTACATAAATGAGCAAGGATCGGAATAGGTGAATTTTGCAGGATTTTGAAACATAATCTCTGTAATATTGATACGTCATATAATTATTTTCGTGCGCTGAGTATGCAAGAAAACTAAAATAATTTTTGGATTTTGATTCTATTTTTATGTTTCAATTATTTCCAGACTCGTGTACAGCAGGACAACAGCTGTTGGCTGAAGAATGAAGAGACAAGAAATAAATTTCATTTCAGTAATAAAATTTTATTTGAATTATCAGAAACCGTTTTTTATCTTATTTCGGGTCCGCATTTAAGTCCAATCTTGTATTAGTACCAAATATCCCCTCATCAACATTGGACATAAATACGGACTCGATACTTACCTTAAAATTAATAAAAAAAAATATTGAGTGGAAACCTCGCTTTCTACCTATTATATTTTATCGATATCGATAAGAAGCTAAGCTAGCTTGGTTAAGCACTATTTGTCTCGTTACATTGGTACTCCTGTTGTTTGACATCTTTGTGGTATATTTGTGGTATGGTTGGTATTGGAGTGCCGCGTAAACTGATATTTTTGGCTAGTATGGAAGTCCCGTCTCTTAAACGTAGTGATTACATTCTCTTTGCTAAATAATCTGGCAATGTTTTTCTACTTATAGAGTATCACGAACTAGGGATGCCGAAAAAATATCGATATTTTTAAAAAATATATCGATGTTTTTGGCCGATATATCGATATAAAAATTGAATATCGAAATCGTATCAAAAACGATATTCTTATACAAACTGATTCAAAGCCGTAAAAGACAAAAATGAACGGAAAAAAACTGTGGTCTATTACTAGTATTGTCGCGGATGCAGAGTTGCATTTTGTATTATAATTACGGTATTTATACTGCAACTAGCTTTTCGTTCTCGAATTCGCTCGCTTTGTAGCCCTTAAATAAATATATTTCTTTAAAAAAATTTCAATTAAAAAATAGCCTATGTCCTTTCTCAGGCTCTAGACTATCTGTGTAACAAATTTCATTTAAATCGGTGCAGTAATTTTTGCGTGAAAGTGTAATTATAATCAAATTCTCAATAATTAAATGTCAATTAATATAATATCGAGTTTTAACAAAAAAAAATAATAAATAATAATTTAATAAAATAAAAAAAACATAAGTTCAGCGTTTTCATGTCAATCAAACATCTATTACTAAATTCTGTTGATCTAGGCCTGTCTTTTAGGACAAGTCTGCGGTCAGTTCTTTTTGACACATTATTAACTTCGTTTTAAACAATTCTTTACGTTTTTTTTTTAGAAAAGTTACATGTTTTTTAATTAGTTATTTTTTGATTCGATTCAGGGCTAAAAAAACTGATTTATCTTACTAAATAAGCTGTTTTTTTTCCAATGAAGGTCTTGATAAATAACATAATGAGAAATTTAGATTAACAAAAGAAATTTGATTAAAATTAATAAATAATTAACGTTTTATTAAAATTTCTCATTCATTTAAATAATGTGAATTTGGTCTAAAAATTACTATTAAATAATGAAAACATGACCGATATATCGATATTTTTTTTCGATATATCGAAGCCGATATTGATATTTTTATAAATATCGATATATCGATATTATTTTCAACTTTCGGCATCCCTATCACGAACTATTGAGATTCCACTGTATATCTGTCAAGACCTCCAATACAACAAAAAACCATTATGGGCGTACGATTTGCCGTCGCAAATAACAGACACGGCTCAAATTTGGCGAGAACACCGTCAAGCACGGCGCTTCTTATATCGATCTTCATTAACAAAGCTCAATACTACATCGCCGAAAGAGACCCTATGTTTACGGTTCAGACCGCCTTCCTTCCCCTCCGCCCCTTATTCCCTTACACGTTATTACCTGGCGCTTTATGGCCGTCTCGAGACGTGCCAGCTGCCAAGACGGTGGGGCACAGCTGGTCTCCTTATCAGCGCGCAACCGTCAAATCTTCAACCCTCGCTCGGTAGACCACCGAAGCGAGGCGAACCGTACAGAGGTGTCCAAGTAACGATGGACGCTCACTCTGCCCACCTCGTTTTTTTTTAAACATTGCCCCTACTTTAGGATAACATTATCCTGTGTTGTAAGGACGTTTTACAAACAAAATTTCTCGCGGACAAACACCCAGATGCGAAGCAACTATTGGGTAACACAAATGGTTGTCCCGTGTGGGAATCGAACCCACGACCCCCGACGCCGAAGCCAATACCTTGGCAACTGCGCCACGAACTCATCAAATCGTTTGCAGTAAACACGCAGACTTGTAATCTGGTGCGGTTGCTAAGATAGGCAAGTTATATTCCGCGGTACGGACTTAGTAGGGCGCGACAATTTAAACACTCCCCACAGCGCGTGCTTGTCCGCTCGAAACGGATGACCTCACAGAGGACCGGTAGGAAGTAACAGGTGACCTGCGCTCTCAGGAATCGGAAACACAGATGCAAAAGTCGAGAATACCTATATATATAATTTTTGATGTAAAATTTGACGATTCATAAGAAGCGCGTAAGCGTCTATTTGAATAAATATATTTTTGATTTGATTTGATTTGGAAAGTCCTTGGCGTTACTAGTGCCCATTGGCTTCGTAATTATGAAAGACATAAACCCCATGATTCGGATTTTTTTCATTACTACGTTTTGGAACAAAATCAACAACGTTAGCTCTATGTCTTTCAACGTGTTTGATTAAATAACAAAAGTTTTAGGCCAGAAACAAACACATGCAGACGAAAAACTAAGGCCTCAGTATTATAGCATGCAATTTGGAGCAGAACCCGCGTTTTCGTTCTCAGATCATCGGTGTTCACGGCCACTGGGCTATTATGGGCTTTTCCGGTTTAATGCTGCCGAATAGACTCTTTGTAGCAAAAGGAGATATCTTCTTTGATACAAGTCAGGTTTTCGTTACCAAATTGTTTAAAGTCTGTATGCTTAATTCAGCGCAGAGATGTCTAATTCACCGACGAGGTCATTGCTAAAATTACGAAATAGGATCGAGCGGGAATACAAAAAATCGTAATGAGACAACAATGACTCTTCACAAAAAAACCTTCTCATTACCGAATCGACAGAAAGGGACAAATGTGGAAACGAAAAAATAAGCCTAACAAAAACATGCAGTAGAATACAATAGATCTGTTTTAGAACTGTTTTTGAATTGTCGAACTATTTCGTTCACAGTCGGAGGTCTTCATTAGAAAGAGAGAAACAACCTCTTATATATTCGATGGTGAAGTGTTGAATGTGATATGATAGAAGAAAGCTAACAAAAACTTGAACGTGTCGGTACAAAAACGGAGGGATATGTATACTAAAAATAAAGACAAAATTTCAAGAATAAATATGCTTTTAAAATACAAATAAAAATCTTGAATAGTGTTGACTTGTAATTAAGGTCTTTATCTGGTATGGATGAGTCGAGAGAGGACCGAGGCAAATCGAAATCCGATACGGACGATAAGCGTCCCTGGTGATATGAGTATTTGCCGTAGTATGGCCACGTAAAAGCTTCGGCTGTTGCACGAATGGGCAGGTCCATCCGGGTCCACGACCTCACAGAAAACCGGCGTGGAGCGAAAGTGTCGTACTTGTGCGTTTCGTCTGGTGAATGAGGTAGCCGCGACCCACTTTATTGTAAGGTGGCAACGCACCTGCAAACCTACGGGTGTTGGAAGTGTCCATGGGCGGCGACTATCACTTAACATCAGGTGAACCGCAAGCTCGCATGCCACCTTCTCACATAAAAAGCAAAGAAAAAAGAAAGGGTAAATGTTAATCCTGTTTGGTCTTTTTTACATAAGTGGATAAAACCTACGAAAAATCCACATTTTTGTACCGTGTCGTATAGTCAATCGTACCCAAACATTTTTTATAAGTACCTGTTGTTTAATATTTTTTTTCCTTTATTCGCCAAATGGGAGACCCTTAGAACGTTGTAACTGTTGACAATTTTGAAAAATGAATCGCCATTTTTTAACTAACGTCTTTGCAGTATGTTGGTTTGAAGAAAACGTTTATTGGGACCCGAAACCTGAACACTTAAAAATGTTTACATAAAACGAATGCGTGAGCCTTATCTTACATAAACTATAATTATGTATCGCTACATACCGTAAAACAAATAATTTATGTATAATATTTAACAAATAACAATTAATGTTTTATGTGACAGTGGTAAAAGACCGGCTAGCCCGTTCAGTCATGCAAGTCCACAACACCACAGGAGTAGCAGATAAACACCGGGCACCAGCTACCTCATTTAGCTAAACACAAAACTTCTCTTCCAGTTCAAACACCAAAACATAGACGATAAATCTTCTTGGGTGATAGTCGGAAGTCATTCTTCTCCTATGCCATGTTAATGTATACGTGATATGTTAATTTTCACACTTCTAACTCAACCGACGCTGAGAATCGAATCCACAACCCAAGATCCAAGCTCGAAGCTCCCGCTCGCGAGCCTCGCGTCCAAATGGGAAGTGGAGCCAGACGAACCTTGACACATCTGGAGGACTGTGTGTCCGCCAAATGTTTGGAGAGGCCGGCAAACATCGTGTCTTCGCTCGTAAACCGGCCCAGGCGAGGGTCGGCGGCCATTGTCCGTCTCAGAGCGGCCGGGACTTAATTAAGCGCGCGAGATTTATGAGCGACTTGAGCAAGCACGGGTCGGCCCATATTGCGGTGCGGCTACAATCGGCGCACTGGATTTGTTTGGCCTTCGATGCGGTTAGTGCTACATTGCTATCGCGACTGACTGCAATGAAGGGGGTAGAAGCGGAGGCAGTAAGCTGAGCAAGCTAGTTTTGATCTAAGCCATAAGGTCGGTTCAAAAATGTCACATTAGCGAACTACCAGGATGCTTGTTTTAGTATCGAGCCTGACACTGATATAAGAAATTAGTGTCAGCTTCGATACGTCCGATACGATACGAGTCTGTCCGTCTGTCCCACTATCACCAGGCTGTATCACATGAACCGTGATAGTTACTGTTGCCGCTATAACAACAAAAACTAAAAACAGAATTTAAAAAAAATTAAGTGGGGCTCCCAAACAACATGGTACGGAACCCTCCGTGCGCGAGTCCGACTCGCACTTGACCGGTTTTTAGTACGCCTTCTGGTGGTCGAGCGCTGTCGACGGCTAATCAAAGTTATGACATCATTATCAAACAATTTTGGACCGGAACTACGAGGAGGTATTCCGACAAAGTTAATAGTGCAGCCCCTAAACGAGTTCAATGATGGAGTTTCCAAGCCACGTCAATCAGGGCGACCGCTGAAATATTTTTGTGAAGTTTTAATGACGAACTAGTTGATATTACGCCCCGTTTTTGCGAAAATAGGCCTTAAAGCAAAGGTACATGTGATGATTAGAGCAACCCGAACGCAAGCAGAAATTTGTAACTCTCCGGAGCCTCTCGCAATAGACGATGTAAAAAAAATTAACAGCAGGTTAAGTATCTTTTTTATCCCTTACAACCCTTATTAGTTAAATATTTGAGTAGCACCGGAACGAAATTGACAAGTTACGGCTTAATGACAGTTTGTCTTTAGACGAACTTAAAAAAAAATAGGAACATTGAGTTTCTTTGAAAAATTAGTTCAGTTAAATAATGAACCTTCTTTGGTGTAACACATTGCGTGCTAACGGTTTTAAACGTCAATGAGTAGCATCTGAGTGAAACTTACAATAGATTATTCCCAGATAACAAAACCGATGCCCGATGGCATACATATTTGAATTTGATGAGGTAATAATAAATAAATAATAATAAATGTTACTACAGAATGTTATTTTTCTTAAAATCCTATTTGAAAGAAACGAAGAAAGAAAGAAAAACATTTATTGGAATTGAATTTAACAAATATTGCGAAGAAGAAACTGAAAAATGAAAAAAAAATCACAAATGAAAGCGGTTGCGAAATTGCGAATATTTAACGGGCTAAACAGAGGATGACAATTCGCGTGGTTGGGACATCGACCGACTAGCTTATTGATTAGAGCGTCTGGCACATTAATCGGGAGACGGGTTCGAAACCTGACAGTTTTTCGAGAATCTATCAATACATTTAGAATTTATTGATACATTTTAAGTTTCCATCTTAAATCCAGACAAGCTCAAAAATGAAAATAATTATAAATTTCAAGAGATCATCATCTCACTATTTACAATAGTGTTTGAAAAATACTCTAAGCTTTTCGCCCGGTTAGGACATCGACGTGGTTAGAGCATTCGTAAACGTCAACCGAAAGATACAGGTTCGAATCGTGACAGCGGCGAAAATAAATATAACTTTTATAACTACATAAATAATGTCAGTTGCTTTCGGCTATAGCTCACGCTATCGTACACGAAACCTTTTTTATGATACAATTTGAGAAACGGAAGACGGTTCTCGTAACATTAAATAACGGCTCATAGAAATCCACAACACCTCCGTTGCAATTGTGATGGAAAACCTTTAAGACAGTTAGAGCCGGCTACCTTACTCACTGTACGAAACATAATATAAAATAATGAATACAATGAAGTGTATAACAATGCCATAAATAAATAAAATAAATATTCCGCTCCAGGCTATTGACTCGCAGCGTATTACTCAAACATTTTTAAAATGATTGGCTTCATTGCAAAGCTCCATGGATTAGCTAGAATAAAAGCGACGATGGCTACCGCGCACACACTAATGTATAAACGGCACAGAATATTCTCGAATGAACCGATAAAATCGGTGCGAAGTGATTGCATTCGATGTATTATTTATTTCACCATCCTGCTGCCCTGGGGTGGGTACAACAGGTTAATTAATTTTTTAGTGATGTTAGCTAGGTTTTTTACTACTACTAACTGTCGGACGCCAACCCTTATCGGGAACAAACACCCAGATCTGGAACTATCCGCGGGTCACACAAATACTTGTCCCGTGGGGTGAACGAACACAATCTCGACGACAAAGCAGATAACTTGGCAACTGTGCCATCGAGTCATCGAGTCCTTGTCTCATTTACTTAAGTATAAAAATTCAACGATATTTAGCCCAATTGCTAGCCTATTTATTCTGTTAACTTATAAATTTCCAAAATCCTCGATCAAAATGTGGGTCATTTTAAAAAAAAATCGGGCATGATATAATGTATGTTATTTGTTATTTCATGCACTTTATTTTATTTTAGTTTTTGTTAAATACTGAATATCAGTAAATCGAGCCGAGTACGAGTACCTACAGGCTTATTTAAAGTAAAAGTTAAGTAACAGCCTATAAGTATAATATGTGCCACAGCTGGGCCAAGGCCTCTTCTGTACAAAGGGTATTAGTGCAGAGTCCACAACACACTAAAATTTCACATTTTTTTTTATTAAAAATATTTTGAAAATATGCAGGTGGTGCCGGCACCGAGAATCGAACTCAGGTTGCTCGAATAAATTGAATTAAAGGCGAGCGCCCGGACGCTGTGCTATCACGGCTCTTGCAATTATAAACATGTCCTTTAAATTTGAACAAAATCCATCACATCATTTTCAAATAAATGTTCTGTAAAGGTAGTCGGATCCAATTCGTTCGAGGAAGTACCAAGCCACTGAAGAACGCCTACTTTCTTCAAAAAGATAAAACTATACCTGTTTTCAAGCCACCGCAGTACAATGTGCTCGCATCGCTAACAGCCGCCTCCGATGAAGAAATAACGCTCGACTTGCGGCCGCCTTGGGAGCGAGCAGGGACGACGAGACAAAATCCTGTTAATCGACAGCCACGACCACTCTGCCAAGAATGTCCGACTAAGAAAAGATACCTGTTTAACCTCAAGTCCTTTTTTTTTTAGGTGAAAAGTTGCCAAGCGAGCAGATGGTTCACCTGATGTTAAGTGAATACCACCGCCCATGGACATCTGCTACACCCGAGGGTTTGCAGATGCGTTGACAACCTTTCGAAAATTTGAAGAAAAAAAAAACGGAAAAGGTTCCGGCTACCTCACTCACCAGACGAAACGCGAAAGTATTATTATACTTCCACTTTACGCCGGTCTTCTTTGAGGTCGTGGTACTTACCCGGACGAGCCTGCCCATTCGTGCAACAACCGAGGCTGCTGCGTGGCCCTACCACCGAAAAAATTGTACCCATTGCAGATTTTCGCAGTGTCGCAGTTATGTCGATCACACCATAACGCAATAGTTTAAACTTACCTTGAATACAAACTATAGACCGGTTATCTGGGACTCACTGCGGGGAACCGAGCTCTCTATTGCGACAAATTATTCAATTAGTAAAGTTGGGCAGTTCGAGACAGATAGCTTAAGTGTGAATCCGAGACGATACCCTACAACTTGATAGTCTAACTTGATAGTTAAGTTAGTTAGTCGCCGACAATGCGGTTTCCCGTTAGGCAAATTGGTAAACGATTTACTGTCCTCCGGTCCGATACCGCCCGTGAAAGATTGCAAGTGTAAATCTTCAGTGTTGCTAAAATCAATATTAGAAAGCTGTTATATATAATAATATCTAACGTAATACAACTTTTAAACGACTGTTGTTTTTTGTTGGATTGTTGAAAAACATTACTCATACTGTAGGATAATATTTCTAATAGGTACCAAATTTGCCAAACACTCAGATTCGGAGTGAATTATCTGAAGGTGATACATATAAATGTCCCAGTTGAAAATTAAGTCACAACTATATCGACAAAATCATCAATGTTGTACTGTTTTGTTGGTTATCATAATGTTTTCAAATATAATTAAAATGGAACGATCATATATTTTATCGCGGAGTTTTCTTCCGCTTTATCTCTCTGAGCAAGTATTTCTTTACGGTTAGTGTGAATCAAGAAATCAACAATAAACCTGAATTGCATACGATATTTTGAATGACTTTGAATGATGTAGTGGATCCTACCACATTTAATAATACATCACCGCCATGGAGTTATACCGATGCAAAAACGAGCAATAATAATAGCAGTGTTCTTACCACTGAGCTATGGTGCCGTAAAACCCCTTTCACTATTATTACCGCTTCCTAATTCAAACGTCTCAAAACTAGGGTTGTCACCCCCGTGCTAAGACGTTTCCTGTTGCTTTCTTACGAACACTCGGCAAGGCGCGTGCTGTTCACGACAGCGGAACGACGCCGCACGAGCCTTAAAGCCATGGGTATAAGGTAGATAATTCACAGGAAACGGAGCCGCAAAGCGAAGGCGAAATTATGGAAATTGGTAACTTCCGCTCGTGTGTCGAACACGCGCCATCGTGTGCACTATGCGTGTACGCGGCCAGTTGGCGGTTATTTTTTTAAAACAGGGAATTTAATCTTCCATCTCTGAATATTCCTATTTCTTAAGCATACGACTCCGGCTGAAACGTAACGTAATTGTTATGGGCCTCCGAGTGCGTCGGGAAAGACTACTTAGTTGGAATAAAATTTTGAAAAAAAAAATTTAAAAAATATTCTTTTCGTTGATACGACCATTTTTAAGCGCACCGAAAAATCCGAATGTTTTTATTAGCTTTAAATAGTCTTTACAGCGTAATGGGAAACCGACAAACTAAATTTACTTTTTATACAAACTTTTGTAAAAATGGAATGATTTTAAAATGTCCATCACTCAATATAGTAAATAATATTACACGCCGCTATTTTCTAAAAGTTTACCGAATTAGAAAAAAATATTCAAACCTAAAACCTGCACGGTTTCGTTCAAAAATACGTTACAGCAGTCTCGCTCGAACTCCCTTGCCTGTGTTAAATTTTTAAAGAACTTAACGAACTTATGGTTTTCAAACATGCAGAGCTCGCAAACATTTTTAAGGACGCAAATTACTACCACCGATTTATTCATCCGTCATTAACGTAATACTCAATACTTTTACAGTCAAACTATATTTTTAATTTTATAGCTTTTAATTGTTTTTTACTAATCATTATTATGTACAAAAACATACTGTAATTTTAATCAAAATTAACAAGAAAGCTACCAGTAGCCCGGGGGAAATATAACATAGTAAAGAAAACGTTAAACTATTCAATCAGACCCGTGAAGATGCCATAAAGTGGCCGAAACCTCAAAGAGATTTAAATCTCTCACGATCACATTTAAAAACAAATTAAGCACGATTAAATCGACAAATTTTATTTGTAAGTA